TTAAAGCCAACAATTTTCTAACAACTTAATTTTTAAAATAAGTTAAACCAGTGTGAAATAACTACAACAAAAGAAAAAGAAAGCTTTGTTTGAGACAGGGTCTCACTATGTAGCCAAAGCTGCCCTGGAACTTGAAATCCTCCTGACTCAGCCTCCAGAGGGCTGGGATTACAGGTGTGTGTCATTATACTGGTGCTCAAACACAACTCTTTAAACAATATATATAACAATAACGTAGAACACATTATATTTGGCTTCCCCTTTTTCTAAAATTATAGACAAGAAACATGCAGATATTGTAACCAACTTATAACAATTCTTAGTAAGAAAACCCTAACCTAGTATGGGTGGAAAAAGAGGCCAAATGTGCAACAAAACTTTAGGTACCAACCAGCCTAGATCAAGCCATGACAAGCCAGTGCAAACTGTGAAATTTTGCAACCTAATGTTTAAACCACATTTCAACTGAACAATTAAAAGCCAAATATTTCATTATTTTGAAATTGAGAAAAAATAGGGCCAGGGATTTAGCTCAGTGGTGCCACCGTCTGCCTCGCAAGCTCAAGGTCCCAAGTTCGAACCCTAATACCAAAAAAAAAGAAAGAAACTGAGGTTTCAATTTTTTTAGAAATTACAAACTAACTTCATCTCCTACATAAGTCCACAAACATGTATGGTACAACAAATAAAGCAGCAGCTCAAAAACTGAACACTCACAGAATGATATAACAATTACCAAGCTACTAATACTTGACCATAAAGTCTAAAAATATGTCCAACTTTTCCTTTATCAGGTGTGTGGGGGGGTAAAATCAAAGCAGCTAATTTACTAAAAAAGCTGAGGAAGTACAAGTCATTTTGGTGGCATTTTGCTCTGTTGTTGCTGTTTGTTCTGAGACGAGGTCTTGCTCTGTAGCCCAGGATGGCCCAGTACTCGTGAGCCTCCTGCCTCAGCCTCCCAAGTGTTGGTATTACAGGCATAAATCAAGGTATCCAGCTAGTAGAAGCAATTTTAGACAAACATTACCAACTACTCTTTTGGTTAATAATATTTTCCTCTTTCCTAAGGTAAGAAAGTAAGGATATTATATCTCCTTTACTTTTTCTTCAGTGTTTTTTTTTCTTTTTTGCATATACTGTGTTACAATAAATCCTTTAGAACTGTTATTCCACCAGAGAAAACCTAAGATGCTTAATCAAGAACTGTTATTCTATGAATGTTTAAATAAGCTATAGTAAATCTGTATCATGTAACAGTACTCAGCAGCAAAAAGGAAAAGATAGCTGGGTGTGGCAGTGAGCACCGGTAATCCCAGAATTTGGGAGGCTGAGACAAGAGGATCACCATAAATGTAAAGCCAGCCTGAACTACACAGGGAGACCCTGGCTCAAAACAAAAATAGAAGCAACTTGGATGAATCTCAAGGAAATTGTGCTAAACTAAAAAACCACCCCCACCAACACACACCAAATAAAATCCCCAAAAGATTCTACTGCACGATTCTTTTTAGTAAACTCTGTGAAATGACTAAATAAATAAAAGAGCAGTGACAGCTAGAGGTTGAGGATAGACGACGAGGTGGGCAGATGTGGCTCTACAAGGGTAACCCAGGGATGCTCTGTTCGGTGTTTTGACTGCAGAAGTAGAATCGACACACAGAATAGCCCTGCACAGAGCTAAACACACACAAATGACTACAAACAAAACGGGGGAAATCTGAATAAGAACAGCAGACAGAGCTGGGCCTGGTAGCGCACATCTGTAACCCCAGGGAGGCTGAGTTTGGAGAATCAGAAGTTCAAACTCAGCCTGGACTACCTAGTGAGACCCTGTTGCAAAAATTAAAAATAAAAGGGGGTCAATGATGTAGTTCAGTGTGAAGACCCTAGATTCAATCCCTAGTACTGCAAACGACAAAAGAGAACAGTATCAAGGTCATGATTATGATCCGTACGTTTTGCAAGGCATTATTTAGTGTCGGGAAAAGTGGGCAAAGGATACAAAGGATCTCACAAACTACATCTACAGTTATCTTAGAATCAGAAGTTTAATATTTGGGTTTTGGGGGGTTGTTTTGTCTAGTTGTTTTGTTTTGTTTTTACGACAGGGTCTCGCTTTGTAGTTCAGATTGACCTGAATTCACAATGTAGCCCAGGCCGGTCTCAAACTCGCGGTGATCCTGCCTCCGCTTCTGCAGTGCTGAGATTACAGGCATGCACCGTGCTAAATTTAATTTTTAAAAACAATGCTAATAGCCAGGGATTTAGCTCAGCGGTTCGGTGGCCCGCCTTGCAAGCACAAAGACCAGAATTCAATCCTGGGTACCAAAAATAAATAAATAAAAAATAAAATAAAATAAATAAAATAAAATAAAATAAAAAAAATAAAATAAAATATAAAATAAAATAAAATAAAATAAAATAAAATAAATAAATAAAATAAAATAAAATAAAATAAAACAATGCTAACAAATGGAAAAGTCTGAATATGAATGAAATGAGCCAATATCAGAGAATGACTGAATGGTTATACAGCACAATGCTTGTTGAAGTATTTAGGAATGAAGTATTATGCCAACCAATTACATGTGTCTCATATATATAACAATGAGAGAATGCAAATATGACAACATGCTAAATGTAGGCAAAAAATTATGAGTATTGCTGGTACTCTCAATTTTTCATCTTGATTTTTTTCAACACTGAAGAGCTGAAGAAGGGGCTGGGATTATAACTGTAATACAGCTTATGCTTAGCCCTGGGTTCCATCCCCAGCACCATATAAAAGGGGGAGGGGGACCGAGGAAATAAACTGTAATAAAGCTATGTTATAATTCTACCTGTTTAAGGTTTAAGAAATAAGGACCGAGGGTGTATGCAGCTCAGTAGTAGAACACCCTTTAACACCAACAGACCCTACGTTCAATTCCTAGCATCCAAAAAAATGATTATTATTCTCCTAAAACTATGTTACAATCCACCACTTAAGAATTCAATTAGTCCTCAAGAAAAAAAATGAAAATAGGAAAAAATGGAAACAAAGCTTTTGTACATGGGGAAAGAAGGGGGCTTGAAGGGGGGACTGGGATAAATTTTTTTTTAATTCAATTAGGCCTGTAATCCCAGCACTTGGGAGGCTGAGGCAGGAGGATTGCTGAGAGTTCAAAGCCATGCTGGGCTACATAGTTTAAGACCAGCCTGAACTATATAGGAAGACCCTTTCTCAAAACAAAACAAAAGGGGGTCAGGGATTTAGCTCAATGTTACAGCCACCTGCCTTGCAAGTACAAGGTCCTGAGTTCAATCTCTAGTACCACAAAAAAAAAAGAATTCAACTAGTCTTAAAATGTCAGGGTGCCAGGGGTGGTGGCACACACCTGTAATCCCAGCACTTGGCAGGCTGAGGCAGGAGGATTAGTGTAACCAAGAGTTATGTGGAATTGGATGTGACTTTCTGTTGTTCAACATGAATTGAAATCCCTGCACTTGGGAGACTGAGTTTGGACTATTGTAAATTTGAGGACCTTCTTGGCAAGTTAGCAAGATTCAATCTGTAATACATATGGGAAATTTTGGTAAAATCAAAGTTATTTTGATAGGGATGATTATTTCTAGAAAAGTTGGGTCGAGTTATGTGGAATTGGATGTGACTTTCTGTTGTTCAACATGAATTGAAATCCCTGCACTTGGGAGACTGAGTTTGGACTATTGTAAATTTGAGGACCTTCTTGGCAAGTTAGCAAGATTCAATCTGTAATACATATGGGAAATTTTGGTAAAATCAAAGTTATTTTGATAGGGATGATTATTTCTAGAAAAGTTGGGTCCTCAGAGTCCTACTTTTCAAAAAAGTGACAAATTATAATTGTAAGAGTTTTCACACACACCCTCCAAAATTTTAGTCTTAAATTTGGCAAGTAGAGTTAATTCTTTCATAAAGAAACGTTTGCAGAAAAGGAGCACCCCCCCACGTTAAACACCAAATAAAAAATATGTTACAATGTATTAATTATAGCGCCAAGCCTACAGCACATACTCTCCAATATAAACAGCCCCTACAAACATAAATGCATTTATGGTTTTTAAACAACGCCAACTGTACACATTTGAAATGCAGGGAATGAGCCTGAGCCAGTGCCAAGAATCACCTAAAAAGTTCTTATAGTCTCTATTCTGTGCAAAGTTTTTGCATCAGTGTACGAAAAAAGTCTGTCTCAACTAAAGGCTCTCAACTTTTCACTTCCTACCGGACCGCCCCTCGTAAAGGGCCCCACCTCCCGAGGAGGGTATGGGGTGGGGCTGTTTCCCGCTCGGAAACTAAGAAATAAATGTCTCTTCTCCGCTCCAGAAAGGAGGGAAAGAGAGGCCGAGGAGTTGCGGGCTCAAGTACGCAGCTGACTACAAGGAGGTGGCTCTTGGAAAGCTTCCTTCCCTCAACTAAACTCCCTCCTCCTTTCCTTCCTCCCAGGGCACTCAGCGACCCCGGCCGGGCGGAGACAGGTGAATCCCAGGAAAGGAGGCAGAGGGAGGGACGCACGATGGAAGGAGAAGCGCTGCGGCTGGGCGATGAATGAGTCGAGCTGCATCCGCACCACCTGTTCCTTCCAAGGGTGCCACCCCGGCCTGCCGGCAGAATTCCCACACCAACCGCGCCGCCTCTACCCCGCGTGCTGCCCGCTGCCTTGCTGAGGGCCAGGCCTCTCCTCCCTCTGCTCAGGGAGGGCGAAAACTACCAGTCTGGCAGCCGGGGAGGTCGGGGCCTAGTCCGGAACCAGGCCCGCTCAGGCGTGGGGACAGGAACGGGGAGCCTGTGCCCCTCAGCGCGCGGGCCGAAGTGGGAACTACGGGGAGGGGACGAAGGAGCGGCTCCGGCCCCACTAGTACTACGAAGGCGGGGTCCGGGCAGGGGTGCCCCGGCGCTCGCCCGGCCGAGGTGAAGGGTGACAGGCCCGGCTACCGGCGAAATCATCCCCGCTGCACGCCAGCAGCCTCACACTTACCAGGATCCGCTTGAAGAGCGCGTTCTCCTTGGGCGGGAGGCTCACGGCCGGCATCGTTCCGGCTCCTCCCGCTGCTCCCGCCACCACCCGGTTCGGTCGGTCTGTTTGTCCGACCGCCGCCACTGCCGTTCCCCGGGCTCCTTCAGCCTTGAATACCCCGATCTACCACCACCACCAGGCCTCGGGTGTCGCCGCGTCGCCTTTCCGGGACACCCCCCTTCTCCTTCTTGTCTTTTTTCCTTTCTCACTTAACGCTGCCGCCGCCTCCCCCCCACGGGTCTCCGTCGGCGGTTCACGTGGTAACTGAACAGACCGACAGAGGCAGCCAAAATGGCGGACGCAGAGGGCTTTCCCACCCGGGTCACACCTCCTATTGCGCAGGCGCGATGACCTCTCCCCACCCTCTACCGTGGAGCTTGCCGGGAACCCGGAGGCTAAGAGGCCGAGGCTCTGGGCGGGCCCTGCCTGTTGCTTACAACGCTGCTCGACCCGGCGGCCCAGGGGTAGAGACCGGATCGCCAAGCAGCTACGCTTCCAACCGCTGCCTCCTCAAAAATAACCTTTCTGCTCTTTCTTGCTAAACTGGTCTTTCATTCATTGGGTAGACTCTTCCGGGCTGTGTGATCAGAGTTTGAGCCTGAAGTGCTAAAATGCAGATGTAGGTGTCCAAGGAGCGCTGAAGTGGATCCTGGCTGAAGCGCCTAATGGAGGAGCAGAGGCGAAAGGGAAAAGAGGAAGGGTTCGCCATGGTAGGGGCTTGTGAACAGATCTGGAGAGGAAGGGGCTTCTGGAGTTTGAAAAGCATGAAATAAGTTGAGCTGTTGAGTGGGCCTGGCTGGCTGGGATATCCGTGACTATTGCCTGGAAAGGTCGATAGCCACTTCTGAAGTGACATTTGTACCGCCAGAGGAGGCTGGGAAGGATAAAGTGTGTGATTTTATTTCGTTGCTAAGGTCATACAGTGCAGGGCCGGGCAACGGACTGGACCAGTCACCCTGGTGTAGTCGATCAAGAAGTTCAGAGCCACCGACTCCCTGGAGTTGGTGTCAGGCTGCTGCTTAGTACTGAGTGTTGAGCTGCCCATCGTTAGAAATTCTCAAATCTTGGAAGCCGAAGAATATTGGAACTGTTCCAATCTGAATGGGGCGCCTTCCACATACGTGAGTCATTTCATTAACAGCCATCAGTAAAGCTTCCAAATAGCCTTCCAGTGAGGGTCTAAAGTTTTTTCAAGTCCATTTCACCCTTATCTCCCCAGAGCCTGAATTTAGTTGGTAGCATTCTTTGAATTATGAATCATTTCACACAATGTGCAACTATTTTACACTTTTAAAATTTATACAGCAAAATTTACTGCCCTCAAGAGACCTTTCAACTATCTGCACTGTTAAAAGACACTCCCCAACCCCAACACTGCGTGGTGGTGCACACCTGTAAACCCAGCACTTGGGAGGCTGAGGCAGGAGGATCACTGAGTTTGAAACCAGCTTGGGCTATACATAGTGAGTTCCAGGTCAGTCTCAACTACATAGTTCGACCCTGTTTAAAAAAAAAAAAAAAAAATTCACTCCAAGAAAATTGTACTAACTATAGGTGATAATTTTAGTTTAGCCACTAAAATGTGTTTCCAATCTCTGGCTTCAAATCCAAAATTCCCAATAGCAATATTATATGCTATGGCTTTTCTACATATAATGTTCTACTTTTATATTCCTGTATTTAATTTCTCCTGTAAATAACCTATTTTCCTAAGGAGAAGCAATTTTTTTTTTTTTTTTTTTTTGACAGGGTCTCACTATGTAGCTCAGGCTGGCCTTCAACACACATGATCCTTCTGCCTCAGTCTCCCCAGTGGTGGGACAACAGGCATACGCCACCATGCCTGGCAAGGGAAGCAAACTTCTGATTTTCAAAACAAATAGTCCTTTCTACTGGATGAGGATCTGATTAGATGAACCAGTACGATCCAGTAACTTGGCAAATGTCAATTCTTTTTGGCTGATGACAAGTAACAATTTTTAAGGCTCAGTGAATATTTGTCTCATTTCAACATTTATCTGATTCATTTCCAAGATAAAATGCACCCACAGATAATAGTTTGACTTGATAGATAGCCTGCAGTGTCTATTCTGATCAGCACTATTTGAAAAATAGAGATTTCCTTTAAGTTATACTGTGAATGGCAGCTGGGCTTCCAGAAACTTCTAGGAAGTCCATATCCAAAGTTAAATGTAAGATGTTCTTCACGTGTGTAAGATGGTCTTTAACATCTATATGTTAGTAATTATTTACATTTCATAGAAAAACAAACATTTATTTTTCACCCAGATTTAATAAATGTTAACTTTTTGCCCTTCTTCTGGGGTTAAATTGTTTTTAAACTTGCAGACACAAAAGGAAGTCTTTCCTCCTCCAGGTCCTGAATTTTACCAGTAGAATTTTTATGTATCTTAAGTAAATAAACATGTATGTAGTGTTTTTGCATTTTAGATTATTTTCAACTCTTGCTTCTTTTTTTTTTGGTACTGGGGATCGAACATGGTTCCTTGCGCTTGCGAAGCAGGTGGCAGAACCACTGAGCTAAATCCCTGGCCCTCAACTCTTGCTCTTATTTAACTCCCTCAGACATAGGAGTTGAATAAGATGCTTCCTAGTGGAAAAATCTAGGACTAAAGCTTTGTATTTCTACCTGCTAACTCAAAAAGCCCTGGTCTCTTCACCTGGGTCATGAATAAGGATTTAGCATTCAAACTCAGGAGATGGTTAGGAAGCAACTTCTGCCAAATATAATAGCTATTAGCTCCTGGCTGGACTTGCTTTATCAGGACTCTCGCCAAGATGGAGTTTCACCTTCAGCTGCCGGCTCCAAGTGTAGAGTTCCACAGTTCAAATGTGCTGAGAGAAATGCTTACATTTCATCACTTTCCTAAAATATACACTAGTAAAAAGATACAGTGACCAAACCTCTGAAAAAGAACGAAATGACATTCCCACTGTAAGTACTGAAATTTGTAATTTACTCACTGGTTCTGTGTACTCTGACTAAAAATGGCTCCTGTTTCAACTTGTTGGAGACTAGCAACAGCATTGTTAGAACAAGTTTCCCAGGGGTGTTGCAGAAAGGATATACAACTGACGGGTTGCTGAGTGGACAAGAAGTTGAAAGCCAACCACTGACTCAGCGCATTAGTTGGGTGGTTTGCTTACTTAAGTCCAGGAGCTCAAACTGGGTTACAGACTCTAAAGTGACTCACAATTTAGCAACTTTCGGAGCCATTGTTTTCATTTTAAAATGAGGCAGAAAACAAGAGTACAATTATTTTATTCTTTGTTGTTGGCTTAATTGTTGGTTTAAAAAAGCTTTTAAAATGGTACTGCTAAAAAAAGTAGGAAAAGTTTTGCTAACACCTATTTTGCTTCGGAAAATAAACTTAAATGGCATTAGGTTTAAAGAAATGGCTTTAAATAGGTTTAAAATTTATCATCTATCTATACTATTTTGTTTGTTTTTGTTTTACAGTACTGGTGCTAAGTCACTGAATTGCTTGGGCTAGTCCGGAAGTTGGAATCTTCCTGCCTCAGCCTTGTACATATTTTTGCTTGGTCTTTGAAACATCAGATTGAACTGAAAATGAATTGCACAAATATCTGGTTCAATTGTGTAAGATAAAATAAAACCTACCTATCAGAGTGGGGTGTACTGGCACATGCCTGTAATCCCAGTACTCAGAAGGCTGAGGCAGGAGGGTCATAGTGAGTTCAAGAAGGGCATGGGCTACATAGTTCAAGGCCAGCCGGGAGTACATAGTGAGATCCTTCCTGTTTTAAAGAACTAAAACCAACACAAACAAAACAAAATGAATCTACTGATTAGTACAATTATCTTAATAGGCAAAAACAAGTTAATTATTACTTCCGGACACTTTGTTAGCTGCTCAACTGGCCCTGTTGCCCTGTGGGATCCCTGTTACAGATGTAAAATGAGGTGTAGACAGTAATCTGACTAAACATCACTGCGCTGAAATGTAGTGAGCAGGAGCGGTGCTTTGAGCAGGGCAGTTTCCACCAGGCCCACAGCCCAAGGCCTCTGTGGCGGGTCCAGGCCTGGCGGGTGGTCAAACAGGTTCCCTAGATCTGGGATCAGGCTGCATCCCAGTGCGCTTTCACTTCTGGTGTTCTTTCTACCTCAAGCTTGGGAGGCTTCATCCTGAGTTCAAACGGACCTTAGGAGCCGTTGAGAGAGCTTTTCAAAGACCAGGTGTAATGTGTTACCTCGGTTGAGCCGCTGTCTTCAGCTGATGCCCTGTGACCCTTGTGAAGAGGGACTGAGGCTGTGAATGTGAACTAAACACAAGATCAGTTTCCCGCACCGCGCCTGAAACCCAGATTATAATCCGAACGTTAGTAGTTTTTCAGCACGACCTTCATTTTCAGCTTTCTGTCTCTGGTAGGGACAGTTTAGTGAACCTTCGGATGGGTGTCCCAGCGGAGGAGGTGAAGCTGCACCCTCAGAAGAC